AACAGAATAGAAACTCAAACACATATGAAATTGAAGTCTTTTAAAACTAATCGAGTTTACTAACCCAAAATTCAAAGTTGAAGAGGTCGTGAGAGGAGGGCAAATGATATCTCAGCCCCTGTTAAAGTATTCACCCATTAGTTAAAAATCTGCAGAACTTTTAGCAATAAGACATGAGAACATCAAGTTGGGTAGTACCTTCAAGCTTGCACATTTAACCAAACAGAAAGGGCATGTAAAGTCTTCCGTCACTGTATATGTATATAATAAGTCAGGTTTCTTCCAGAATTTAGCAGCAACGTTTAGCGACAGAAACACAAAGGACACATGAAGAACTATTCACCATAACAGGCAATCAGCAGTTTACTTGATTCTTATTATCTCATACCCTCCGTCTAGGGATAGCAATTTTGCCCCACTGGTAACTGCCTCCCCCACAAAGAACAGTTACAGGAGAAAAGATTATGCAGGTTCCTATATATCCTATAATTTATCTCTGGCAGAAACTACACAAAGTACAACTTCTTTGAAGTCTTTGCCTTTAGATTCTACGATTAGTCAGGCGAGGAAATGTTGACAGTCACCTACTTGCCATCATACTCGACATGAAAGACCAAATTCAACAAGCGAACAAGCAAGAAAAGAGTAGATAACTAAGACCGGCATTTACCCCGATCAAAGCTACAACTTATTGATGATAAAAGTTGACATTCAGAAGCTTATCTTGTGGCATAAGCATAAGATTTGTTGAAGACCACGAAAAATCAAGTGCGCTCCAACAAAACCATATGCGTAGCTCTATAATTTGTGAATGAATAGCCAGACCAGCACAGATCACAAATGGCATAAGGTGAACTAACAAACAAGCTACAATTCATGATTCAAAGCACGTCTCCAGAAAGGCTAATCAAATTACCTTCGGTCCTCTGCAACTTGTTATTATAGTATTTGTAGTTGAAAACAACATTTCCAGTCCTCAACCTAGCCAACAACCATGAAGTTAATGAATGTACACACACATGTGCCCATATTCTACACTGAGGTCGGAGATGAATGGGGGCTATAAGTCACCTAATAATCTGTGGCAAAGTGGAGGAAGGAATGCCTCTGTATGAAAATGAATCATAAGGAGATCTCTCCTTGGTTCCAACTTCTTCTGCCGCAACACGGACTTGAAGTTGTTGAGACATAGGCTTGGGTAAAGCAAACAGAAAATATGTAATGATTAAGAAATGAAATTTTAATGACTGAACATCACCTAAAATCTAACTAAAGCTCTTCCGTAAAAACAGACTTCATATTTATTTTTCTTTTCTAATATAACTTTGACATTGAAGAGAGAGGGGATGTACCATAGTTCTGTCACGAGGACTACGAAATGAGAAGCATTTGTCATCTCCAAAACAGTTTGTCTGCAAATAAAAAACTAATTAAGAAACAGGAAAAAGGCAATAGGTGATTATTTCCACGTGAGAACACACAGAAATTACATCAGATTTGAGAGAAGCGTCCAAACAGTCAAGAAACATTACAATAGATATGGGAGCAACGGGTAAATAACCAAATGGATCATGCAATAGCCTATGTTTTCATTTGGAAGATAGTGAGAGCTTTTCCTAAGGGTTTGCTTGGGATTCCAGCCTATCATAAAGAAGAAGGTCATGAAACAAGTAATATTCTGGGGAGTTCAACGAAATCATCAGAGTAGGATAATTGCAAAGAGGTCTGCATGATAAGAACACAAATCCATATTTTTTAGCACTACCAACAAGCTCAAGATGTCTTCCAGAAAGCTCTGGGAGAAACATCAGTGCTAAATCTGAATACTTGGGCACACAAGTCATGAAAAAAAATGCCTCCTCTTGATTATACCAAGAAATCTGAAGATGAATCAATTGAACACTGCAATCACTTTACAAGAGGGAGGAAAAAAAGACACAGAAACAAAAGAAAAGTTACTCAGAACACAAAGCAACACTAACAATGAAACATATAATCGAGAGTTATTCAATTGCAACCTTCAAGTAGCATGAATGCAAGTCAACAGTGGATAGCATCTCAGCTCTCTGCCCACCACTCAAGTTCAGAGATTTGTCCCATGATAAATGAAGTAGTTCCATTGGAATTTTACCGAGGAAGCAGGGACCCTCAACATTAGCTATGAATAAAACAAATACAGCAAAAATATTAGCTCGATGGGAACAATGAAGAGAGAACATAAAAGAAGACAAATCATTAAATGCAGGAACCTGGAGTATATATATATATATAATAGAATGTGATATGGAAGGTTTCAACATGAAAGAATCTTGAAGTGGAAAGTGCAAGCACATCAAACATGACTACATCCAAAAGCCATAATCGCGGCACCTAGTGAAAACCCAACATTGGAAACATACATCCCATAACTTTGGTTACTTCAGTGCAGTCATCAAACAATGAATCAACAAAGCTAATGATGTTTTTTCTTCTCAAGTTTGATTAAATCTTATCTTCCATTCAACTGAATACGATCCCTATCGGTTAGAAGAAATTATATAAAAGGCAAGTCAACCATGTAATATAAATAAGTTTTAATGGAGTTACATCTTCCCCAATTCTTTGATAACCACAAATGTACTGATCAAGATTTCATTCAAGTCAACCCAGCTCAGGTTGTGATTGGATATGAAATATTTCACATTTTCATCTCACTAAATAATTTTTTTAAAAAGGCACAACATTCACTCATGTCACTTTATTCTCCTTGGTTTGATCTATCCAATTTTGAAATACACTTCAACCATTCTTACACATTTCCCTACAAAATTTACTAGTCATCCACTCATATATTTCAAACTACCACTGATTTTACGATTTTTACATCTCAGCAATACTCATTACATTATCATCTTACATCTAATCCCAGTTTTCAACCATTTTCTCTAGTGAAAAAAAAAAAAAAAATCAATGAAAGCATATCAAATAACAGCCTCAACTTCTGGAACCTGAACCTGGACAACCAACTCCACAGAGCTTAAGCTGCTTCATTCAAGTAGACCTTGATGGTGTACAATTCTCACCTGCTGACTGTTGTATGAGAGAGAAATTCATACAGCCAATTTCAAGCAAACCACCACCGACTAGAACTAAAAGCATGCTACAGAAAAGTGGCTATTCAACTTAACTCTCTCAATGAAATGGGGGACTCCAAATCTAAGGGTCTACAGCAGAAATAAATTCAGAACATAGCTGTCTCCCTTTGGATTAAGGAGCAAATATAATATGCAAAAATCACCCAAAAAAGGTAATAAATCTTAACTATTGGCCAATGCACCTGGAAATAATGATCCCTCTGCATGCTCCTTAAATAGTTCGACTGCAAAAATAGCAGTAAAGCATGAAAATTTTGCAGAACAAAACAAACTCAATTGCTATAAAAATTAAATACGGAAAAACAGCATACCACAACTGACAAACAATATAGAGAGAGAACCGGATTTAACTTCTGCTGACAGTTTGTTAAACTCAGGAAGAATAAAATTAGCTTGATCTTGGCTCATCCGACCATCTCCCGCACATTTAGTTAATATACATGCTCGACTGAAATGATAAACTGCAGAATCCTGCATCAAGATGTAGTCAGAGTGGAACAGAACGAGTAAAAGAAAAAAGTGCAAATATACAAGTAAAATAACAGAATTCATGCAGTACCTCTACAACTGCAGGACTATAAACTGGTCTTGCTAACAGGATACATAAAGGGAATAGACTTTGAATTCGAGATTCGTCATTTACAGTTGATGGAAGAGATATTGTCATGTGAATCCTAGGGCACAGGAGAAACAGAGTTAACAACAACATCAATCATGTATGTCACTGAGAAGTATACATCACAAAAAATACTAAGCACACACCCATTGCACAAATGTAGACTGGCAACCAGTATCAGCACAAAAAATAAATAAATGGTAGTAGTGATTGATAGAGAACATCTCAGCTGCATCTTCTAGCAAAGATATATAGATGACTCTATAGTTATAAAAGAATTTCAATTCTCATTCTGCACATTTAGGCACCCGGAAAATATTTAAAAAAAATATATGCTTGCATTGTCCAAATTAAAGGAACTAGTATTTCTAGTCAACAATCAACAATATTATATAATGTGCTGTATTTTATAAAATTAGACTTTAAATTTGAGGAAAAATTAGAAAATCAGAGTCAATGATAATCTGCAAAAAAACATAAAATTATTTTGGACACCGTTGAACAATAAAGCATTCAAATAGAAGCAATTAAACAAGATAAACGAAAACTCTAACCCATATTTCTTTACACCCCAAGCCTGAGAAGAAGTCAGCAATTTGGGCACAACTAAAGATAATAATGACAAGGTTAATACTGCATACCTTCTCTTGTTTTTTGCTTGTATTTTGTATCGCAAACATCTTTGAAGGAAGGATGGCTGCAGAAGAACCTTAACTTTTGTTAATGAAACAGAAAAATTACTATAATGAAAATTATTTATGACGAAAAGCTTGACAACTATCCCAACACAAACAATGATCACCAAAAACCAGCAAGCATATATGTACAAGTAGTTCAAGTAAGTATAAAATTGGTCCTCTAGAAATTATTTTATATAGTTGGGAGTAGAGGGGCAGAGAGGAGATAGTAAGAACCAAATAAACCAACAAGATCCAGGATCGGAAGTTGGAACCCTGGTTGATGCCCTCTTAGCTGCATTCTCGTGGTAATTGATCCTCAAGAAATGGCACCAGATGTTTTCACATGTAGCAAAAATATCTAATTAAATATCACATAAACTAGACTTGGGAACCGCTAGGCAGCCCAGTTGTAAGGCATGTGTGTCTGTGGTTGGATTCGATTCCAACCTCCCTTCTCTCCAGAATTAGTACGCAAAAGAATAGAGAACAAATATAATAAAAATAGAAATAAACAAACAAGAACAAGTTGTAGATAAGGCAGCGAAAAGCAAGAAAGTTACGTTTCTAACAGCTCGGCGCTGAAGAATATTGTATAATTCAACTGGCTTGCAATAAATTGAAAGGCTCTCCTCAGCTGCAATTTGCTCTTCTGGAGACAAATGTGCACGGGGATCTTGGCGACACATATGATCTGCCCCTCTAGAGTAACTGCAATTGCAAACACAATTCCTGTTCCAGAAATTAGATAACAATGGTCATCTGAGTTGACCACTAAAAACCACATCTCAAATGTGGTCGGTCACCTTACTTGAAACATAATAAACCAAATTCATGAGCATGGCCCATAAGTCAGTCTCCCATATGGTAAACTAAGAAAAAGTAGAAACGATTAACTCGAATCTGGGTTCAGGGTTCCAAAATCAATCATTGGGACCCTAAGATAAGACAATTTTATGTCTTTTGAGGACATTCTTACAATCTTAAGGCCTTCTCTTTGATTTTTACTTTTACTAAAGTATGTGTGTTTGCGTGGGTTGTGCTCTCTAGAATCAATACCGTGAATCCCTATATGTTAACAACCACTTCCAATTTTGGAGAAAGTTGCACAGAAGTATAAAAAACATTATTCCATGATTAAAAAAATTGAGCTGCACCTGCACCCTTGCAATTTCCAGTCCTCCATTGAAACGGACCAACAGAATGAACTTCAAGATTTCTATGAAACTCATTTTAACGGCTTTGGAGCATAACATTCTATGACAGATTGACATCCCCAACCATTGTTACAAAAAAGGTCACATGAATTGAAGTAAACATTATTAATTTAATGAAAAAGGCGAGTCATTAATGCCTTACTAAGCTCCATATTTTGTGATCGCAGCTCTTAGCCAAGAAAACACTTACGCAGTTTCACGAGCCACGAGAGGTATGCCTGGCATCCTTATTAAACAGAATGGATGCACTTATACATAGCTCTAACCAGCGCTGAGATTGAAAGACTGGGTGTTAGAAGACCGAATGAACAGTCAAAGAGAACGAAATCGGAAAAAGAACTCAACCAAATGCATATACAATTCAAATTTGACATACGTATTAATCCTAAACACACCATTTAACCAATCGGTCGACAATCTGCAGCTGAAATGATATCAGACAACTAAAAAAGGTAACATCAAGAGTCTGTCAAGATTGATTATCAAAAGCCCTTACTGGGTAATCGTTCCAAAACGACAAAATCAAAAGGCAAACAAAATATATTCGTCGACAAAAACCTGAATCTTCGAATTTCCTCGACCTAAGATTTTGATTTGGTTTATCCAGGAATACCCATGTACGTATCTCACAGAAGTGATGGAGACAAGGAGAGGGATAGAACATACCGAGTTGACTCGTTTTAGCGGAGCAAACAGTTTCTGACCGGGACGGTGGTGTCGTTTGTCCGTACTCAATTTTGATTTACAATTTTTTTCAGATTTAGCATATCGCGGAAGGAAAAATTTTCGTTTTAGTGCTCCAACTTTATCCGTTTTATATTTTTGGCATTACTGATTCTACTTAGGGTGAGTTCCCATAAAAAATTATATCCCCCTATATATCAAGGGTCATTTGGTTGTTCATATTGGGCTTGATATCATTTAAAATGTTACTATATCCATTATGTTAATTTGTTTGGTTGGAGAAGCAAAAGCCCTTTAAATGATCCAGGCCAGGTAGCTGTAAAACCAAAAAATCGTATTGCTCATTCGGCCCCTAGCGTGGGATACAATATCCTATTATTTAATCTCTCTAACATATTTACCAAAATACCCTCATATAAATAATATCAACAGTTTATTTTTTTTCCTCACTGTAATCTGATGTTAGGGTTCATCTCATTTTTATTTTGCGTTGAAGCCGGTTTTTGAAGCTCGTTTCTCCTCGTACATCTACATTGCTCGTCCGATTCACACAAGATATTGTGTGAATAAGATCTACAAACCCTTGTTTCAAATTTTCCACAACATAGTATTTATTATTTTCTTCAAATTTTCTTAGATCTGACTATTTCTTTTTTGGGTGCAGATCAACTTTTGAGTCGGCGAGAGGAGAGCAGTTATTCTCGGCGGCCGACGAACAATTGTGACTGCGAGAAAAGAAGAAACGGGGCTCAGGAAGTTCAATGCATAAGGTAAGACACAGTACACATGGTTCATTCGCAAGTATATATTCTGTTTTCGAATATTTGTTGTTTAAAAAATAGTGAATTTGATAGATTGTTTGCCACGATATGTTTGTTGTTTAAAAAATTCTAAATTTGATCATTTGTTTGCTGTGAACATATCAACAAATATTGTTTGGCATGAACATATCAAATAAATCCTGTTTGCAAAAAATGAAAAACATGTTTTGTTTTAAATTCCAAAATTTAATTTATCTCTGGTGTGATGTAGACAGAACCTGGTGTTGGTGTGGACAAAACCTGTTGAGTTTTGAATGATTGTATATGGTTGAATTTGTGCATGTCACTCAAAAAATTTAAATTGTTTTGTACAGATTTTACTATTCATTTTCAAATGGTTCATCCTAAGGTGTTGTAAGTTATGGTCGAGATTTCTAGGGGAAAGGCTGAAATTTTACTATTATTGGCAGAAATCTTGAATGAGTGTACCTTTTTCATGAGCATGGTTATTGCGTTGAGCGAGGAACAACGGATTAACAGAAGGGAAGCTATTACGAAACGAATTAAATATGTCATGGCGAATAGAATTCCTAAACAAATAAAACATTTGAACAATTTGGTTGGCATGAACGAGTTAGATTGTATGGAGAATCTAAGAATGACTAGAGGATCCTTCACTAGGTTGTGTTACCTTCTCCGTACCTGTAACGCCCCACTTTTATTTGTCGAAAATCAAAATAAATTTTTCAAGTTTATTTCAGAACACCTGAGGCGCTACTCATTTTCAAAACGTACCTCAATACTTAACCAATTTCTCAATACTCAATCAATCGTCAAACTCAATCATTAATCATCAACAATATTACTAACTCCCAAAACGGGTTTTCTAAAAATTCATAAATCTCCCGAAACGGGTTTCAACAATATTCATAAATTCTAAGGAGCATCTCCTTATCATTATTCAATCATAAAATCCGAAATTAATATAATGCAATAATACTCCAAGTTCATATTCATAATAATCAATTCATAAAAGCGGAAGCATAACAAATAATAGGACCAGTCTTATAGACCGACCACCACTCGCTCTACTCCGCCATCGTACCTGCCTCGCTCGCTTAACCTGAAACGTGAATTTCAGGTGGGGATGAGCACAGTTGGAAAAAGTAGTGCTCACCACTATGCAGTAAACATTATTCACAAAATAAAACAGTAATCAATAATCAATAATCAATAAGGTATCGTCGCAGCATGTATTCGAATCAATTATTTATCCCATCTCTTATCCCAGAGTCAACCCTCATGTGCACACCTACGCATAGACTACTGCTGATACTCGATTCGAACGCCAAAACCTACGAGTTGGTCTTACAACGATGCCCAGCCAGTAGGAGTAATCCACCCCGCCCGGCCAAGACCTACGAATTGGTAAGCGGAGATCACCAGCCGTGGCCTACGCCCCGGTCTTACGGCCATACATAACATAATATAAAGGAGACTACCCAACGGGTACGTTCTATAGCTACGGGGATAACCGTTCGACGACCGGTACAGCTCACATCGAAGGCTACATGGTTCACATGCATACATTGATCATACCATAATTAAAACAATAATAACATTTATAGCATAGACGATTTTAGAATAAGAAACCCACAAGTTATACGTTTATAATATTTACAGCATAACAAGTTTAAATAAAACCCACCTGGATATTCTGAATTGAACCTGAGAGTCGTCGCTTAGGTGGAAACTCGAGGGCTCGACTCCTCAGAATCTACATAAATTCAAGCGACACTCGGATGAATAACTAACTCTTAACTTGGTAAGCTAATTTACCAATTTGAAGGATTTCCTAGCTTAAGGTTCACGACTTACAAAATCTTCTCTTTCATTGATGTTGGAACTCTCGACTTGGACTCTAAAAAAAATATCGGAATTTGACTCTAGAAATTTAAAACTTAGCCTCGACTCAAAAATTTATTTTAAAGGCTCGAAATAATTTCTAAAATTCTAAAAATAGCTCGGGATACTTAGAATTTTTCGAAACATTTTAAAAATAATTTGGGGTCTAAAATACTAGGTTTTTGACAAGGAAAAAGGGACTAGAACAATTTCACAAAAATCTAATTTTAACAAATTAATACCAAGGCAAATGGACCCAACATATAAAGCACATCTAATGGCAATAATAACACGAAATTCCCAGGCACCAAACCAAAGACTGATACTTAGCAGCAATTGCAGCACCTCATTATCAAATCAAACAAAAATGAGGCTAACAAAATAATTTCTCACAAATCCCATTTTAATACATAAGCACATGAACCCAAATCTATTCATCACATTTCACGGCACATAAGTAAAAACTCACCTACCAGCACCAAACTCAACATATCAAAGGTCATATTATGCAGTAAAATCGCAGACTCTCTTCTCCATTATTTTCGAAAATGAATAAAGGGACACTAACAAGGCAATTTTTTTTTTTGAAAATAAAAGGGCTTCATATCTCGGCATTTGAACTCGGTTTTTAAAACACACCTTAAGGCATTGGTCTAGGCTGAAGTATACCATAATTTCACATACTTCGGAGGTGCAAAAATATTCAGAAAATGCAGCGAACACAGCCCCCTTTAAACATCAAAAAAATTCAAAAATAAAAGAGCTCGGCTTAGCATTTTACGCCCAATTTTTAAATACAACACAAGGCTTCTTTTAAAACACCAACATACCAGGTTTATGAGAATATATAGGGCTCTAATACTCAGAAAAATACAGCAACAAAGTTCTCAAAATATCGAAAATATACGAGGCCCGAAACTTCGCCAATTTATCTCTATTTTCCACTCGAATTAAGAACAATTTGACTCGACTATTATACCCCATAAATTCACATATTTTCCAGATATATGAGCATAGACTAGAGGTTCAAAAGTCAGCAAGAGCAGCCCCATAAAATCAAATTTTTGAAAATCAAGGAGACTGAAAACAAGGGTAATGAACATGATTTTTCGAAAAATTATTCTAAGGATTTTGATCTCAAATTTTTAACTCTCATCTTAAGGAAATTAAACACATAATGTACCAGGTTTATAAACATAATATTAGAGGCTCAAAACTCAGGAAAGAAAAAAAATCGCAGCATTAAAAGACAACTCATTTTAGCAATCAAAAGAGGCTCGACTATAGGCAAATTTTCTCTCGATTCTTGAACAGTTTAAGAGCCTTCAAATCTCAACTTTCCCTGGTATTTAACCCCACGATAACACACATTTACAGAGGTTTAAACCTCAAAAACACAGCAACGCAAATCAATGATTTCAACCCGGCAAGGCTCCGAAGAAGGCATAATCAATCCCGATTTTTCAACGACTTTAAAACAATTATCCCGACCCTTTTAAACTTCAAGAATATGAATTTTTAGAGGCTAACACATTAAACTCATGAATCAAACTATACTCGCACAATTTGGAGAGAAAGAAGAAAGAACCAAATATTATTTCAAGAAGTGAAAAATTGAATTCGTCCAATACACAAACAACCCTATTTATAGTTAGGGTTAATACATGAAGTAAGGATAGCGAAATGTCTATATTGTCCCTTATATAAAATGAGCTAAAATACAAATATTTTATACAAAATAATCCTTGTTCATGTTAATCTTGGATAGTAAGTGAAAAAACAGAGTAGAAGGCAGAGGTTTTGTTAGCAAGTCAGCCACTTGGTCAGCAGAAGCAATGTGATGAAGTTTGAGCAAGCCTGCAGCTATCTTTTCCCTTATGAGGTGGCAATCTATTTGGATGTGTTTAGTCCTTTCATGGAAGACAGGATTATTTGCAATAGCTATAGCAGACTGACTATCTGAAAAAAGGGAAACAGGAGCCATGTGAGGTAAATTCAAATCAGTTAGTAAGTATGTTAACCATTGAATTTCACAAGAGGTGGTGGCCAATGCCCTATATTCAGCCTCTGCTGAGGATCTGCTGATGGTGTTTTGCTTCTTTAATTTCCAAGAAATAATAGAACTTCCCAAAAAAATACAGTAACCAGTAATACTTTTCCTTGTTGTTGGACAACTTGCCCAATCACTGTCACAATGAGCAATTAACTGTAATGAAGAAGTCCTGGGAAAGAATATACCTTTGCCAACTGTGCCTTTGAGATATCTGAGGATTCTGTGTACAGCAGACAAGTGTGCAATAGTAGGTTTGGATAAAAATTGACTAAGGCATTGAACACTATAAGATAGATCAGGTCTTGAAATTGTTAAGTAAAGTAACCTACCAATCAGTCTCCTATACTCAGTGGCATCAGTAAGAATACATGTATCAGATGCAGTGATTAATTTTGAAGAAGCAGCCATAGGAGTAGGAGCTGGTTTTGA